GGAGGGGAGAGGTCGCGTCCCCCGCCTCCAGTTGAGCGCGCGGATTTGATGCGAGACTCCAGTGAGCGTTTGTGTCCGAGTGGCTTGATGGTGCGTGTCACTGTGTGTCACTTTGTCAGTGCCGCTGTGTGTGTGTGTCACTGTCACTGTGTGTCACTGTGTGTGTGTCACTGGGTGTGTGTCACTGGGTGTGTGTCACTGGGTGGGGGACGATAGTGTAGCGGTTAGCGCTACGCTGCGCTATGAACTCAGGCGACCTGAGTTCGATTCCCGCTCACGGCCAACACCGGTGACGATTATCTGAACCGGTCCTGGACCCCGCCTAGGTTGACTTAGCCTCAAACGAGGAAGTGGTGGAATGTCAACATCGCCACTGGGGAAACAAAGGCGGCCGGGCATGGTGTTAGCCACCCATCCCCTCGTGTGCCATGCTGGCCTTCATAGGTGCTCGATAACAGCACTTACCGCAACAGTCTGCTAAGACTATACGGGGGATCTTTATATTTGTGTCACCGTTGACTCAGACTCAAATCAGTACCCCTGGTGCGGCGTATTAACATTGGTACGAGGGAGCGATAGCATCGCGGTTAGCGCACTGCGCTACGAACCAGGCGAGGCGGGTTCGATTCCCACTCGCGGCCAACACCGGTGACGATTATTCACTCGGCCTCTAAGGAGAGTACCTGGTGCGCTGTGTAAACATCGCCACTGGAGAAACAACGACGGCCGAGCGTGTCACTACTGGCCACCGACCCCTCAATCCTCGTAGGCGATCGCTAACAGCACTTGCTGGCAGCGATCGACATCTCTTGTGGCGCGGGGCTCAACATGTTACCAAGGAGAGGACAGGAAGAAGTGGGAGAAATTCATTGGGGCCTTATGTCCCACCAGAGAACGAAGAGTTTGTTAAGGGCCTGCACGCGGGATCTTTGTCTTTGAAGCACGCGTATTGTACGATGCCGATAGACTTTTCGGAAGATGCCCTCATGGTCATCGTGAACCCCGACCCTCTCCCACCGTGCCACGAAGCCCTCTCCGTTGCCCTTCGCCACCTATCGCGATGTAGCAATCCACGTGGCTCCTGCCACGCGAGGCCATTCTATCGCTCCGTCTCCACGCTTGGACGTTCCTCTCGGGCGCGTTCCTCACCCTCCAGTGAAATGCCACATCACGGGAATCCCATCCCACCGGCCACGTGGCCTGCCCTGTAGCCCACGTGCACTCCACGGATGACAATGCACCGCGTGATTTTTGTTGGGTTTATTTTGATGAGAATGCTCATTGAGAAAACTAAAACTAAACTATTTGTTTTATTTCACCAGGTAAGACCCATTGAGCTATGTAGCTCTTTTTTTCCGAAGTGACCTGGCCACAAATGATAGCTCAACGAAAGTGGCTTATCACGTGGGAATTCATAGCGGCGAAACACTCTTAACGCGTGCATATTATTCTAAATGTGGAGGGAAAACCGAAGGTCCTGGAGAAAAATCCAAGCCACCACGGAGAGAGAGAGACACGCAAACTCCAAATATACAGCAGGCGTCAGGGTGGGGACCGAACCCACGACCTCCTGTAGACCAGGCGAGGTAGTTAACTAAAACAATCCTGAAACAACCGTGCTCAAGGTGAAGCACGCAGTGAAGGTCAAAACGTCAAGGCCGTGCATCAGTACGCTACAACGAGCACGCACAATGCACCGTCACGGCGTGCCACGTGTGCTCTGTTCAAGTGATCGTTTGAGCGACAGCGTTTGGCAGTGGTTCATGACGGTTCGGGCAATGGCCCTCAGATAAAACATACGCACATGAAAACAGACAAGACACGTGCACGTCACATCACGCGCCCACATACACGTAGATATAGATATATACATACATATGGAGACAGATACAGAGGCAAAAATCTCCCGTATAGCCTTTACTAGACTAGTGAGGTAAGTGTTATTCGTGAGCCCCCCATGAAGGCCGGCACGGCACACCACAGGGCAGTGGAACTCGGGGTCCGTAGCACAGCGCGATAACCACTCCACTACCGCTCCCCGCGACTCCCTGTCAATCACCACACACACGTGGACCTGACAGACACATTAGCACATGAGACATACAAGCGCATTTAAACCCATGTATATATGCAAATGAGTAGAAACGAGCATTTGCCTATGCAGATATGCGTATAAATAGACTGGCAAGGACAAATACAACGAAACCCCGTATAGCCTTTAACAGACTGCTCGGGCAAGTGCTGTAAGCGAGCACCTAACAAGATGAGGCGTGAACAGCGCACAAGCGAATGGTGTGGCTAACACCCATGACGCCCGGCCGCCTTTGTCTCCCCATTACTGATGTTTACAAACAGCGCCAGGTACCATGTTGAGGCTGAGTCGACATAGGGGAGAGCCAGGCACGGTTCAGAAGAAAATCACCATTGATCATTAGTCGCGACCGGCAATTATCGAACACGGGAATGCCGGGGTTGTGTGTTGCAGTGCGCTAACCACTGTGCCACCGCTCCCGGCCAGACACACGCGCGCACACACGAACCTCATTTAAAAAAAAATCTCATCCCCTGCCAACTTATCCGTCTTAAGTCGATTTCATCAACTGAAATAAAATTAATTCGCAACTCGTTGCTATGCGTGTGCGCGTGTTTGCGTATGTTGTGGGGGGCGGTGGCGTAGCGGTAAGCGCACTGCGCTACGAACCCGGCAACCCGAGTTAGATTCCCGCTCACGGCCACCAACACCACCAGTGACAATTATCTGAACCGGTCTTGGGCATCCCCAAGATCGACTCGGCCTCAAATGAGGAGCTCGTGCGGTGTTGTTAACATCGCCACTGGGGAGACAAAGGCAGCCGGGGGTGGTGCTGGTCACCCACCCCCTCGTGTGCAGTGCCGTTCCGGCCTTCACAGGTGATCGCTAACAGCACTTGCCCCTAGAGCCTGTGAAGTCTACACGGGGGGGTCCTCGTGGTTGATGTACATGGATGGGCAGGGGGCGTGGGAGTGGCGGCGTGCTGATTTTGGGAGTGGGGGGGGTGGAATTTGAAGAGGGTGGTAACAAATCGCACGGATTGATCCGGTTAAGAACCGAGGACGGCAACTTCCCGATTATTAAATCCGAATTCCGCCCGAGGGCTGCGCGGGTTTGGCGATCGCATCTCGCCGCCGGGAGAAGTCTCCTCCCGCGACGTCCGCGCCGAATGTTCCAAAAAAAAAATTTGAGCGTCGAATTTTTCGTATTTTTATTGCGGGAAACTTGCGCACATCATCACCACCATCATCTACATCCACACCACGATCATCATCATTGAATTTTTCTTGAGAACTGCTTTTTGCGTTCAGTTTGTTGTCCTTGCCACGCACCTCCGATTAGCACGGTTGGCTACGTGCGGCGCGAAAGAAGTTCAACGTACATAATATACATCATCACCATCATCACCACCACCACGATCGTCACCACCTTCATCACCACGGCGAGAATCGTGGCGAAGCCGTAAAGACGGACGTTGATGTTGCGTCAAGGCAGTTTGGTCGCGGTAGGAAACGGTGCCTCTTTTAATTTCGGTTTGAGAAATTATTCGTGTTTTAATCCCGTCAAGAATATGGTATATCGTCTCTTCACCAATACGCACTGACCAGCGTGGTGAAGTGCACGGCGTAGGGAGGACCATCGTGCAGCAGTGGACCGACAGAAGAGCTGCGTCCAGTTCTAACTACGTTTATCGCTCATTATTATAATTTATAGTTATTTATTTTTTATTATTTTATCGTCACTGTTTAAAATCGCGGTGACCCTCTCTTGACCTTTGCTCTTGACCTCTGCGCCTCGGGATGGGCTGCCTACCGTGGGGGAACAGCGAGGCCGGCGAGTACACAAACAACATCATCAGCAGTATCAGCAGCAGAATCATCATCAGCAGCAGCAACATCAGTATCATCATGATCATCACTAGCAGCATAATCATCAGCAGTGTCAGCAGCAGCAGTATAAGCACCGTCATCAATAGCACCATCAGAAGCGTCATCATTGTCTTCACCACCACCAACATCATCAGCAGCGTCATCATTCGTCATCTGTACCAAAAGCAGCAGTGTCACCATCACTAGTAGCATCATCATCATCGTCGTCATGAACGGTGATATTATCAACATAGCAGCAGTATCATTATCATCAGCTCTAGCAGAAGCATGGTCATCACTCTCTTTGTTACCATGATCAACATCAGCATTATCAGCAGCAGCATCATGATCACCATCAGCAGCGGTAACAAGGTGATTATCATCAGCGGCATCATCAACAGCAGCGTAATTAGCTCAATTATAGTCGCACCAATAATCAGCAACAGTAGCAGCATCGTAGGCTCTTAGTTGACAATGAACATGTAATAAAATAAAGATAACCATCATGAGTAATATCATAATCAGTAATAGCAGCATATAATCAAGAGCCTTAATTTAAACTGCTACAACTTTTTGCAGTATCAATTCATGATGATGATGACTATCATCATCAAGAGCTGTCGTATGGATATAAAATTAAAATCTTAAATAAGCAAAAGATTATCGTTATTCAACAAATGTGACTTTAATTGTAATAAGCAAAGGATGGAATGGCAGGATATGGTTTCCAATATTCAATCATCATGTCCATAGACACATACACACAGACACGGGCACAGAGACACACACACACAGACAACTCCAATAACAAATACACGGATGCAAGACTAGAATGGAACCACTCCCAAAGACAGATTTCCCCGTTAGCTTGAAAACATTTTTGGGACTGTTAGTGAGCACCTATGAAGGCCATCACCACAACCTCTACCACACAACTCCTCAAATCCACATCGCTCACCTCCCTCTCTCCCTCTCTCTCTCTCTCCCTCACCCACCTCACCGCTATCGCCTCCTTCCTTATGCCCGACTGCTCCCTATCTCCCCCAATCCCCAAAACCCCTCCCCCCATTCCCTTCTCCCCTCCCCCCTCGTCTCGGCAGAGATCCCTCAGTGTGCCGGCTGCAATCAGCACATCCTCGACCGCTTCATACTCAAGGTGCTGGACCGCGCCTGGCACAGCAAGTGTCTCAAGTGCTGCGACTGCCAGGCGCAGATGAGTGACAAGTGTTTCTACCGGGATGGCAGCGTCTACTGCAAGGAGGACTTCTTCAGGTCGGTGCCGAACGCGAGAACGTCGTACGCCAGCCAAAAAAATATACTCACCGGGTTGATCGTCAAATTTCGCGAGCTAATCGCCGTGTCGAGTAATGACGTGACAACGCTGCCTTCATTTACATCGGACAATGTCAGCAAGGTCGGTGAATTCCGTCGCGGTCCGCTTTCATTGTACCACCGGCCGCTTGCGATGTCCGCTCTGGTCCGGTTGACGGTCCCCCACGCCCAGTCTCGCCACGGGGGGGACATTTGAGGATGCGCGATCAAACGTGGCGAGAGTCGTGGCGGTGATCTTTTTAGCCGCACGCATCGGATACCTGAGAGAGAGGGGTGGAGGGGGTTGTGGGTATTTGTTTCGACCCGGCAACCAATCACTGCGTTTATCAATAATATAGTTTTTTTTTATATTTAGGGTTAGATCGCGTAAATACAAAGGTGTCGTTAAACCCGCCACCACCCGACACAGCCAATTAGTAAGGTTTGTGACGTCAACAAAACATGCCAATTCGTCACTAGTACAGCACACCGGCGTGTTGGGGAGCCAATCGACAACATTTACAATCCGAGTACGACGTTTCGCCAGTAATTACAACTAGCATTATCAGGCGGACAGCCAGAGTTATATTTTATATTCACATTCATATTTACGCGCTCTAACCCCCCCGAAAAAACTTATATTATGGATGATATTGGTCGCGAAAGCCTACGTGTTAAACTGCGTTTATGATTTTTATATTGGCGAACTCTTGCGGCGATGCGCGCGTGTTGTTCATGCGTGGCACGCCGTTTGTAACGTATCAAGCGTTTGTGTTTCTTTAACGAAAAGTTAATACGTAAAAAAAACCTCTTAACACATTAGTCTTAAGAAGAGCGAAAACATATGATAGGCGACGTTTCGGGCAATGCCCCTTCTTCAGAGCACGTACAATCATCTAATGGCAGTGGCCCGCCATCATTTCCCACGAAGCATGGTGGTTTGGCTACGTGCGGTGGCGAAAGGAGTTCGGCAAACATCCAGGGCCATTACCCCGAAACGTCGCTTGTCGTATCAAGCGTTTGTGTTTCTTTAACGAAAAGTAAATACGTAAAAAAACCTCTTAACACATTAGTCTTAAGAAGAGCGAAAACATATGATATGCGACGTTTCGGGCAATGCCCCTTCTTCAGAGCACGTACAATCATCTAATGGCAGTGGCCCGCCATCATTTCCCACGAAGCATGGTGGTTTGGCTACGTGCGGTGGCGAAAGGAGTTCGGCAAACATCCAGGGCCATTGCCCCGAAACGTCGCTTGTCGTATTAGTTCCCTTTTGAGGCCACACGCACCCACGGCGCTGCTGTGGACGGATGCGTTGAGTCGTCCTGGTGGGCTGTGCTTGTGCACCGCTGCCAACACGGCGGCGGTGGCGTCGCCAAAGAACTTGTCGCTTCGAGGTGAGCGGGGCTCGGCCAGGGGGCGGGGGCTGCGACGATGTTTGGTGGCGAAGACGAACGAAGACGAACGAAGACGAAGGAGTGGCAGTCGAAGGAGGGAAACAAACAAAAACCCCACGGTGTTGTTCCCCCCCCCGCCACCCCGGTAATTGCCAGCACACATTGCGGGTGCGTCTTATAATCCGGTCGGGGGGAGGGGAGTGTTTGGGTTCGGATGATCAGATCGTCTGTAGAAACCTTATTGACACCGGGCACACGTTTGGGGCGAGACTTTACTTTCGGGAGCGTCTTATAATTCATCGGGAGCAATGCGGCCGCGATTCGACTTCACCGCGCTCCCAACGCAAACTCACCCGTGACATCTCTCTAAATCCACTCCGAGGCACAGTGGGATTAAGATTATGATTATGCGTCTGTCTCTCTGTCTCTCTGTCTCTCTCTGAGGTACATTATAATTTTCAAAGGCCTCTCGACTCGTATGCAACCTTACAAATATGATTGTTTAAGTCGGAGGTGGGGCGTTAGGAGTGTGGGGTGATTGTGGTGATCGGAGTGGTGGTGATGGTGGTAGTGGTATTAGGAGAGGGAGGGTAGGGTAAGGAGTGGAAATGGTGGTGGTGGTGGGAGTGTACATATTATGTATCTTACATTTCTTTTTGCACCGTACGTAGCTAATTGTGGTGGTGGGGAAGTGAGTGGTTTAAATTACGGGATGGTGGTGATCGGAGTGTGGTGTGTAGGTTTAGGAAGTGACAGCGGAGTTATCCGTGTGGATGGAGTGGTGGGTGGATCGTGCTGATGGTGATGTGGTTCGTGTCAGCGTGGGGTATGGTGGTGGTGGTGGTGGCAGGGTTAGGAGTTATCCGTGTGGATGGAGTGGTGGGTGGATCCTGCTGATGGTGATGTGGTTCGTGTCAGCGTGGGGTATGGTGGTGATGGTGGTGGCAGGGTTAGGAGTTATCCGTGTGGATGGAGTGGTGGGTGGATCGTGCTGATGGTGATGTGGTTCGTGTCAGCGTGGGGTATGGTGGTGGTGGTGGTGGTGGCAGGGTTAGGAGTTATCCGCGTGGATGGAGTGGTCACGGGGATGCATGCACACAGCAAGGTGGAGCCATATGGATGAGCCGTGGGGTGCGGGGTTTATAACTCTGGGCCGCGCGTGCCCCAAGAAGTAATTCAGCGAATCCTCGCAGTAAATCTGAGCTCTAATCTTCTTATTTAATATCTGCTGCTGCCGAGCCGCGCCATCTCGCTCGCGATTAATATTTTCCTTGGGATCTTCTTCGTAAAGCCCCAGGGCTTAACAGATTGAGACGCCCCCCCCCCCCTCCTCCTGCTCCCCCTCCCTACTGCCACCACCACCATGAGCAGCGTCGTCAGGCCAAGATCTATCCACTATCGCGGTGTTGCGACGACGCGCCTCTCCGTGCGGCTCCACTCGTTCACACACGAGCCGATTTCGCATCGCCTCGTCTCGCGTGCAAATAAACGCGTAATTCATCATCAGAATCATCATCATCATCATCATCCATGGTCTATCCACTGTTGGATGAAGGTCTTTCCAGCCCGCCGCGATCACGCAATGCGACTACATGAGCACAGGGAGGCCTTTGTCCAGCGGTGGATAGTGGGTGATGATGACGCTTTGGCTTGTAAAGAACGACAGGAAATCAGTGTTACCCATCAGCACTTCACAGTTAATACATTCACTGCGGTGCCACTTTACGAGACAGTCAACGATGGTCTGTCCTCTTGAGTGTTTGCCAGCTTGTGCCCGCCATAGTAATGTGGAATTTCCCTACCACTGGCTCGGCAGGCCCCTGCGGTCAGAAGCTGAGCGGCTCAAAGTTGTCGCTCGAGCATCACGAGGGGACCGCATTTCAAAATCGACACACGGGCAGGACCGCCGATCCTACTTGCTGTACCGCCTCCAGCAGCCACCCCTCTCGCGTGAACGTAATCCACGCGCGTTCCACACGACCGTCGTTTTTACCCGCGTCTGTGACGAGACGCAGGCATGGACGACAACTATGTTTGGGTCACCTGGAGAGCCTTTAGAGAGGCGGGAGGAGGCCATCGATCGTGGAGCTGGGGACGTCTTGCGAAGCGCGCGACGAACGCGTGGATCGGGTGACGCTCGCTGGTTCTCGTGCGTCGATTCATTAGCAGGGGTCTCGGTCTATCCACTGCTGCAAAGTGGTTAGCGCTCTTTGCTACGAACCCGGCGACCAGGGGTCCTGGGCCTCGCCTAGGTCGTCTCAGCCATGAATGAGTAGCTATGCGTGCAGTGTCAACATCGCCACTAAGGGAGACAAAGGCGTCCGGGCGTGGTGCTGGCCGCCCGCCGACTCGTGCGAAGTGACGACCTTCATAGATGCCACTCGCTAACGGCACTTTGCCCCAACAGTCTGTGACAAGCTATAGGGGGAATCTTTATCTTTATGTATACGTGGGGAGCGGTGGAATAGCGGTTAGCGCGACGCGCTGCGAATCCGGCGACTCGAGTTCGATTTCAACTCACGGCCACCAAAACCAGTGACAATCACCTGAACCGGTCCTGGGCATCCCCGTAGGTCAACTCAGCCTGAAACGCGTCCCTGCTGCGGTGTGTGTGCGCGTGCGTCTGTACAACATCGGCACTGGGGATGAGACGAAGGGCGGGTGACCTATACCGCGGGTGACCTTCGCCTTCCACGGCTTCCGCAGGAGGTTCGGCACGAAGTGCGCGGCCTGCGGCCAGGGCATCCCGCCCTCGCAGGTGGTGCGCCGCGCACAGGACTTCGTGTACCACGTGGCGTGCTTCGCCTGCATCGTCTGCACGCGGCAGCTCGCCACGGGCGACCAGTTCTACCTGCTGGACGACGGCAGGCTCGTGTGCAAGGACGACTACGAGGATGCCAAGCGGCGAGGTGAGCGGGCGTGTGACCCCACCCCTCCCCCACCCCCTGCCTGCACCTCGCCGCGCCACCGCTCCCAATTAGAACACAAAGACAAAGGTCCTCCCTCCTGCCAGCGTGCAGCCTTTAACAGGAGTGCAGGGGCAAGAGCTGTTAGCGAGCAGGGGCAAGAGCTGTTAGCGAGCAGCACCTACAGTGAGGGAAAAAAAAGTATTTGATACCCTGCTGATTTTGTACGTTTGCCCACTGACAAAGAAATGATCAGTCTATAATTTTAATGGTAGGTTTATTTGAACAGCGAGAGACAAAATAGTAACAAAAAAATCCAGAAAAGCGCATGTCAAAAATGTTATAAATTGACTTGCATTTTAATGAGGGAAATACGTATTTTACCCCTCTGCAAAACATGACTTAGTACTTGGTGGCAAAACCCTTGATTTGAAGCTTTCGTGACTGCAATAATTCATACTCTTTGGTTTTATTCGGTAAAGTCACGTAGGTAAAAACAAATAAAATAAAAATAAAAGAAACAATTAAAACACGACGTTTCGGAGGCAACACAAGCTTCCGTCTTCAGGTGGAAACAGTCACAGCAAAAAATCGCAGCCCACTGTGCCAACTTGCTGTATTTTAGCAGCCCGGCACTCCGCTGGCTGTTGTGAGCGTCGCTCCTCTGCCCTCCGTTGTTGTTGGAGGGCGACTGCGACAACTCACCAGTAGCGTCCTTCACGAGCCTCCTCCACACAACGCAACACACACGGACACACACGGACATGGACACACACAGACACACAACACAGAGCACTTCCCGTGCCCTCGCGGGTCTCCATTGATCTCATCGACGTCATTGCGGAATCAAAGGTCGGTGCCCCTTTGATTCCGCAATGATTTTTTTTCATCTTTTCCGTGGGGGCGCGCCCCTCACATCTTCATTTACGCCCTCTCGCTCCTCTTGCGCGCGGGATTAGCGCGGGGAGAATCGGCGCGCCTCGCTTCCGTCCAATTCACTCCCACGCAGCAGCGACCATCACCGCAGAGCTGCGTCCTCTCGAGCTGCCCACTGTGAACCGACCGTCCCGATAACCCAGCCACTTGGGGGCGGGGGGGACCACGTGGAGCCGGGAGCGGGGTGGGTGGGGGAGGCGAGCGGGCGAGCGAGCGGGCGGTGGTTGGTGGAACACGCGCGGGTTACGTTCGCGTGAGACGATCGTTTCGCGGATGGGTGGCTGCTGTTGGAGGCGGTAGAGCAAGTAGGATCAATGATCCTGTCCGTGTGTTCGATTTTCAAATGCTGTCCCCTCGTACAAGTGGAGTTTCTCTGCGCTCCCGGGGGTACTGCCACTGAAACAACAACAACGATCCGAATGACGGTCCATTGATAAAGTTGATATTGAGAGAGGCTTCCGAGGTTAAAACAGTGAACTTCACGAGGAGTCGTGCATCTTCATGAGCTGGGTTCATATTCGTGTCTCTGGTATCATCATAATCGGCATCCGCAAAATGTTCAATTCATTAAAACAGCATCATCTGAATCACTTACTTTGAGAGTGGTTCAATCGTGAGCAAAACTGATGAACACTGATCGTAGAGGTGGACATTGGCTCGCAATTCACCATGACCACTGATCACAACAATAATCAACATCATTATCACTATCATCACCATCATCAGCACACAACTCATCATCATAATCATCAACATCGTTATCACTATCATCACAATCATCACCACACCACCCATCATGACTATAATCATCACTCATCATCACCAATCATCATTACCACACCACCCATCATTATCTTCACCACTCGTCATCACAACACTCGTCATCACTATCATCACAATCACCATACCACTCATCATCATCACTACAATCATCGTTAACACACCACTCATCATCACCACTATCATCATGACAACACTCATCATCACTATCATCACAATCACCATTCCACTCCATCATCATAATCACCATTCCACTACATCACCACAATCATCACAATCACCATTCTACTCCATCATCATCATCACAATCACCATTCCACTCCATCATCATCACTATCATCACAATCACCATACCAAGCCGCCACCATCATCACCAGTGGGGCTGTCTCCCGTCTCGCTGTAGAGGCGGAGATGGACAACGGCTCCAAGAGGCCGCGCACCACCATCACGGCCAAGCAGCTCGAGACGTTGAAGAGCGCCTACAACAACTCCCCCAAGCCGGCTCGCCACGTGCGCGAGCAGCTCTCCTCCGAGACGGGGCTCGACATGAGGGTCGTGCAGGTGAGCGGCGAGGACTTGAGGGTCGTGCAGGCGAGCGGTGAGCGGCGAGGGCTTTAGGGCGCGTCGCTCGGGTGAGCGGTGGCCGAGACACGCGAGTGGCGAGGGCGCGCGAGTTGTGCGGGCGATGATGACACGTGTCTCGGGTGAGACGCGCGAGTGGTATCGGGCAGGGAGTATCGGCCACTCGGACAATGGCTTGAGAGGGGGTTTGACAGCTAAGTGAGAAATGTAGCTTGGGTGAGGAGGAGCCCTTCGTGTGTGGAGTGACGAGGAGGTGAGGGCGAGCCGCGTGGGTGAGTCAGCGGTGTCTCTGAAGACGTTCGCATGAGGATCAGAGGCGTCGCCAAAATCCGTCACCATTTGTCCGAGGCGCGAGAACCTCCCTGTGCCCGCCCCCTGTCTCTCTGGGGCTGCGCTCCAGAGCATTCTGCGTGATTTTAGCGGGTGGCAGGGCGAGTGATTTAACGTCTGCTCAGCAGGTGATTTGGATTCGGATGGGCAGGTGATTTGGATTCGGATGGGCAGGTAATTAGGATTCGGATGGGCAGTTGATTTGGATTCGTCATTGATTCAAATGCACATACGATCAGTCGAATAGAAGGCCCTGTTAGGGGCCAGACGAGGTCTTCAAGTGAACCAACTAAACACTGACGGACTTTCAAGACCCAAGTGCGACTTGATGGGCAGACACCTTCGGGTATATCGCCGCTGCCAGGGCGGCTCCCACCCATCCGCGAGGGTCCTGCAGCCGATGGACCTGGGCCCAGGTCTGGGTCCTGCGCTCCGCGGATCTCGGGCGGGATGGCTGACGGGCTCGCGAGGAGGGGACCCGGAGTGAGGGGGTGGACCGTGACCTTCGGTGTGCGGCTCTGGACCCTCCCCGCCCCCCCCCCCCCCCAGGTGTGGTTCCAGAACAGGCGCGCTAAGGAGAAGCGCCTCAAGAAGGACGCCGGCCGTCAGCGCTGGGGCCAGTACTTCCGCGCCAGCAAGCGGGCCAAGGGCTCGGGCTCGGGGGCCAAGGACGTCGGAGGGGCGACGGACGCGGCGAGTAACGGCGACATGTCCTTCCGCGGTGAGCGCCCACGCACACTTCTTCCCTTCCTCGTTCGCCAGCGATCCGGTGGTGCCGCCGCCCGTTGCCGCCGTGGTCGCAGCTGCCGAGTTGGGGCCGGTGGTGGTGAAAGAGGACAGTCAAAAAAATAAATATATATAGCATTACACTTTTGGCAATAGTAATAACTCTTGTGGCCTTAAATTGAAACGAATTATGAAGTGCCATTGCCTGAAATGTCACCTACAATGTTTTTACTTTGAAGGCCACAGACACACAATGGCGTTGCTGACGATTATGTCGAGTTGTTTTTGTAAGTTTCGTTGCTAGTGAGTACCTGTCAAGGCCGCGGGGTTGGGGGGAGGGGGGGGGGGCTCTCACGAAGGAGCGGTGGCCGTGGTGGCCGTGGTGGCCGGGGTGGCCGGAGTGGCCGGAGTGGCCTGGGTGGCCGTGGTGGCCCGGGGTGGCCGTGGTGGCCGTGGTGGCCGGGGTGGCCATGGTGGCCGGGGTGGCCCGGGGTGGCCGTGGTGGCTGGGGTGGCCGGAGTGGCCAAGGCGCCCAACCGTTTTGCTTCTCACCGAAGTGGCATTGTGGAGTGTGGAGCTTTATTTACTGATTCTTACCCAGGTCTGCTTCGTGTAAAAACAAAAACTCCTGAGCTCCGTGGACAAAGATGTCCCGTGTAGCCTACATGTTCGTACTTATATCCTCGATCAATGTACATTCATTTATTGTGCCTTGCTAACCTCTTCTCTATTTTGCACGTCTATCGTTTTTATTGTCGTATTGTTAATTGTTGTTGAAGCTTGCTGACCGACGCCTACTGGACATCTGTGAAAAAGAGCTTCATAGCTCATCGGATTCCTCTTGCAGTCTAAATAAACATGCTGATCCCGATAAACTGTTAGCAAAAGTGCTTTTTCGTGAGCAACTAATTAAGGCAGGCATGGCGCACGAAATGGTGACGTGGCCAGATCGACGCCCAGCCACCACCCGAGTGACAACGTGAACACACCGCGCTAGATGCAGTTGTTTTGAGGCTGAGTAAACCTAAGAGAGGCTCAGGACGATATCGAGGTAGCGACGGACGTGCTTGCCGCGAGTCGATATCCACAAACCACGACCAAACTAACGTCCGGACCCCCCCCCCAACCCAACCCACACCCCACTTGTCGTGCGCCGTGCAGAAGACCAGAGTCTGTCGGAGATGAGCCACACCAACGGCGGACTCTACGGCGAGGTGGACGAGGCTGGCGGCGGCGGCGGCGGCGGCGGCCCCGGCCACTGCGGCATCGGCGCCGCCCACCTGGCCGACCCCTTCCTGGTGCAGCAGCAGCAGCAGCAGGAGGGTGGCTCGGCCCACCCGCACTTCCCTGAACTCCGCGCCGCCGCCGCCGCCAGCCCCTTCTCCGTGGTGCACTCGCCCTCCGTGGCGCTGCCGGGGCTCGCCGGGGCGGCGAGGCAGCCCATGCTCGCGCCGCCGCCGCTCGGGTACCACGAGGTGGGGCCGATGCCCGGCGGGCTGCAGGTGGGCGGAGGAGGCGGTGGTGCGGGGGCAGGAGGAGGAGGAGGAGGTGGGGCGACTGGGGGGGGAGGAGGAGGGGGCCAGGGACTCGCGCAGCCGCCCGGCGTGCGGATGCTCGGCACCGCGCAGGGTCCCAGCTCGGACCTCTCGACGGGAAGCAGCGCCGGGTATCCCGACTTCCCCACCAGCCCCGCGTCGTGGCTCGACGACATGGACCCGGCGCAGTTTTAGTGTGTGTGTGTGGGCAAGGGTTGGTGAGAGTGTGTGTGTGTGTGGGCAAGGGTTGGTGAGAGAGTGTGTGTGTGTGTGGGCAAGGGTTGGTGAGAGAGTGTGTGTGTGGGAGGGCAAGGGTTGGTGAGAGAGTGTGTGTGTGGGAGGGCAAGGGTTGGTGAGAGAGTGTGTGTGTGTGTGGGCAAGGGTTGGTGAGAGAGTGTGTGTGTGGGAGGGCAAGGGTTGGTGAGAGAGTATGTGTGTGGGAGGGCAAGGGTTGGTGAGAGTGTGTGTGGGCAAAGGTTGGTGAGAGAGTGTGTGTGTGTAAGGGCAAGGGTTGTTGAGAGTGTGTGTGGGCAAGGGTTGGTGAGAGAGTGTGTGTAAGTGCAAGGGTTAGTGAGAGTGTGTGTGTGTGGGCAAGGGTTGGTGAGAGTGTGTGTGTGTGTGTGGGCAAGGGTTGGTGAGAGTGTGTGTGTGTGTGTGGGCAAGGGTTGGTGAGAGAGTGTGTGTGTGTGTGGGCAAGGGTTGGTGAGAGTGTGTGTGTGGGCAAGGGTTGGTGAGAGAGTGTGTGTGTGGGAGGGCAAGGGTTGGTGAGAGAGTATGTGTGTGGGAGGGCAAGGGTTGGTGAGAGTGTGTGTGTGTGGGCAAGGGTTGGTGAGAGAGTGTTTGTGTGTAAGGGCAAGGGTTGTTGAGAGTGTGTGTGGGCAAGGGTTGGTGAGAGAGTGTGTGTAAGTGCAAGGGTTAGTGAGAGTGTGTGTGTGTGGGCAAGGGTTGGTGAGAGTGTGTGTGTGTGGGCAAGGGTTGGTGAGAGTGTGTGTGTGTGTGTGTAAGGGCAAGGGTTGGTGAGAGTGTGTGTGTGTGGGCAAGGGTTGGTGAGAGAGTGTGTATAAGTGCAAGGGTTAGTGATAGTGTGTGTGTGTGTGGGCAAGGGTTGGTGAGAGTGTGTGTGTGTGGGCAAGGTTTGGTGAGAGTGTGTGTGTGTGTGTGGGCAAGGGTTGGTGAGAGTGTGTGCGTGTGTGGGCAAGGGTTGGTGAGAGAGTGTGTGTAAGTGCAAGGGTTAGTGAGAGTCTGTGTGTGTGTGTGTGGGCAAGGGTTGGTGAGAGTGTGTGTGTGTGGGCAAGGGTTGGTGAGAGTGTGTGTGTGTGTAAGGGCAAGGGTTGGTGAGAGTGTGTGTGTGTGTAAGTGCAAGGGTTGGTGAGAGTGTGTGTGTGTGTGGGCAAGGATTGGTGAGAGTGTGTGTGTGTGTGGGCAAGGGTTGGGGAGAGTGTGTGTGTGTGTGTGTAAGGGCAAGGGTTGGTGAGAGTGTGTGTGTGGGCAAGGGTTGGGGAGAGTGTGTGTGTAAGTTCAAGGGTTGGGGAGAGTGTGTGTGTGTAAGGGCAAGGGTTGGTGAGAGTGTGTGTGTGTAAGTGCAAGGGTTGGTGAGAGTGTGTGTGGGAGGGCAAGGGTTGGTGAGAGAGTGTGTGTGTGAAGGGTTGGTGAGAGTGTGTGTGTGTGGGAGGGCAAGGGTTGGTGAGTGTGTGTGTGTGGGAGGGCAAGGGTTGGTGAGAATGTGTGTGGGCAAGTGTTGGTGAGAATGTGTGGGTGGGCAAGGGTTGGTGAGAGTGTGTGAGTGGGCAAGGGTTGGTGAGAGTGTGTGGGTGGGCAAGTGTTGTTGAGTGTGTGTGTGGGCAAGGGTTGGTGTGTGTGTGTGTGGGCAAGGGTTGGTGAGAGTGTCTGTGGGTGGGCAAGGGTGGGTGAGTGTGTGTGTGTGCAAGTATGCGGATTGTGTGTGGGAAAGGGTGTTTGATTGTGTGTGGGCAAGTTGTGGTAAGTCTGTGTGTGTGAGAGCAAGTTTGTGTGTGTGTGGTGGCAAGGGTTGGTGAGAGTGTGGGCAAGGGAGGCTGTGTGTGTTGGCATCGTACCCCTTCCCCCACTCCTCCTGATGGGTGAGTTTCAGGACTGCGACTCATGCAGTTTCCATGCCTGGATAGGTTCCTTCGTCTAGATTTGCCCAGAAACCTTTGCCGGTGGTTGAAAGCAAGCGGCAGGCCTACTCCCACCATCTGCACCATCCCACGTCCTATAATGAGCCTTCGCTCGGAAGTTCGGAAATCTGTGCGGCGCTGCAAGGATGAGTAGTGGCATCGGGTTGCTGAGGAAATGAAAACAGCCTACGTAGCACCTGATAGCAAATCGCTATTTTACTCTGTCAAATAAGCAATTTGCAGCGTCACTCCTATCACCATCCTTAAGGAAAAATAGACGCTCCCTGGAAGGTGGTTGGCTGATGTTCTGACTGTTGAGGAAGGGCAAAGAGTGATCAGGAGGAGCTTGAGACCTGGTACAATTCCAGGTAGAGGTTACCTATCAAGCGAACTGCTGAGGGAGAGTGGCGTTTGTGTGGAGACTGCCCCTACGTGACATCATTACTACTGTCTGGTACACAGGATGGGTTCTGCAGGACTAGAAGGATGACCTGGTGATCCATATTTTTTATTGATTGTAACAACTACTGGGGCATCACCCTCCTCAGTGTGCTGGGAAAGGTCCTGGCAAGGATTATTCAGTATCGCCTTTCCAGACATACTGATGAGAGGCCTGTGGAGCCCCAATTTGGTTTCAGACTGGGCCGGTCCTGCATGAACGCCATTTTCTCTGCCCGGCTGCTGTTGCAAAGGTGTAGGGACTTCCAAAAGGACTTAATATCTGTTTTATTGACCTGGCCAAGGCCTATGATACCATCAAGAGGCCAGGGCTATGGGTTGTTCATGATTTTGGAGTCCTACACCCTCACAATCATTAAGGACCTATTGATATTGAGCAGGACCGGGTAAAGCTGCGTGGCCAGGAGCAAAGCTGCAACAGGGATGTCCTCTGGCCCCTACATGGGCTAGAGAAGAAATTGGCTCATTTGGTACGGGAGCATGTGGAGCTGAGTGGAGGAGGCTCATGAAGGATACTACTGGGCAGTTGGAGGCAGTCGCCCTCTAACATCATTGGAGGGCAAAGCTCAACAACGAGCAGAGCACCGGGTGGCTAAAATTCAACACGTTAGCACGGTAGGGGCACAGGTGGTGCATCTGCTAGCCATTTCAGTCAGTCCACCCATGGCACCTGCTGGGTCTGTTCCGTGACCTCCTGCAGCGAGCCTTCGACACTTCACATGGCTTCAAAGTGCACCTAGCCTGGCACAGGTGCCGTGGTGATGTCACCGCCGCTTAGTGGTGAATGGCGGCTGTTGTTGGATTGGGTGGGTGTCAGGAAGTGTGTGTGGTGGGTCAGTTTGTGCGAGTGGCTGTCTGGCAGCGTGTTTCCTGTATGTGCGTGTGTGTGCATCTTCGTGTGTGTGTCTGTGGGTAAGTGTGTGCATTAATGTGTACAGATGTATGTGTACTTATGCAAGTGGGCTTTTGAGTGTGCACGTGTGTGAGTGTGTGCGAGTTCACATCTGCAAAGAGACACGCGGACAGACTCGCAAGATGAGAGAGACTCAATGAAGATGTATTATCACCTAATCAAAACTATATCACACAAGCAGAGCTATACATGAACATTATATGAAAGAGAAACTCAACTTCTTTTGTACACACAAAATAAACAAAAACGACCGACTGAAAAAAATATTCTAGAATCGTCACTTGAGAGCGATAAGAAGATGATGCGTGCCGAGGATGTACAGTGTTCCGATATGGCTGAAGGACACTTGAACAAGAATATTTGCCCTGTTCGGCGACTTAAAAGACTGGACCGAGAAAAAAACATGATGGCGGACTGTTTCCATTTAAAAGCAAACTGTGACTAACTACTAAGATCATATAACGAATACAACCACTTATAGCAGATGTGTCCGTGCATAACACTCCACCCAGGGCCGTCCATAGGTGGGTGCAAGGTCCCGGGGCAACTCCCATCGCGTGGGCCCCCCCCCCAAACTAAGCCGGAAGTATTACTTCTGACACCGTGAGGGCTCCCCAAAGCGCGGGGCCCAGGGTGGTCGCCCTGATTCGACGTGTACGCTCGGGACGGCTATGACTCCACCAGTCGTACCTCTTTGCCGCTTCCATTGGGGGGGGGGGGGGCTTCTCAAACTCCGCCACAGGAATTTGTGAGCTGCCAGAGGTGCACGAAGAAGCACTGGAGTTTGAGAAATCCTGACTTGAGAGAAAAACGCACCACCCCCAAAATCCAAACAGCTCTTATCTTGATAGCGTGTACCCCTGGGGGGCTGCAGACGCAGAAACGTCGGACGGCGTCACTCGCGTTTCCCAGCGAGTCTCGTTAGCCGTGCGACTGAGTTTCTGGAAAGGGAACAGAAGTTTAGGGTCTATGTCTGGGTTCGTTAGCCATCCTACATTGCTGGCGGGTGAGCTGGTGGAACGCTTTGATGCTGCAGTGGCTAGGAGATGTTAACTACCTCGCCTGGTGTACAGGAGGTCGTGGGTTCGATCCCGACCCTGACGCCTGCTGTATATTTGGAGTTTGCGTGTCCTCCCCGTGGTCACCTGGATTTTTTTTATCCGGGTCCTCCGGTCCCCCGCCCCCCCCCCCCCCCCACATTTGGAAACATGCCTTTCGAGTTTTTGACTGCGATACAGTTCTACATGATAAGCCACATCATTGGGCTATCATTTGTTGCCAGGTAGCATCTGGGCCTTACCTGGTAAAATAAAACAGTTTAGTTTCATAGTTTGGTGCCACCGTTCACCGTTCGAGATGGGCAATGAGCTGTTGGCCACGTGCTCTATTGTTTGTTTCAGTGAGATCGGTGATGGTTGCAAGTGCCCTTGCAACAGCAGTGCTAGTTGCCGATAGAACTATCTTCCATCTCCTGTAGCGGGCTGCAACACCTCGCCACTGTCTTCTTTCTTCATGAGTTGCTGATAACAATGAGAACAACAACAACAGCCTAGCTTGTGTTCAACCAGCCCCATTATAGAAATTTTCAGCCAATCGTAGCGAGCCAACGCATGATTGGGTTACACCAATCACAGTGAGTTGAGGGTTTCACATTTTGGGTTTAACCATTGTGAGACAAACCATGGGCGAGGGGGAGGGAGGCAAGGATTTGGATTTATATGTACTTGGTCAGATCAGGTATAAAGTTTCCG